CTTAAGAAGTTGAACATTCCAGCATCTACTATATTATCTATCATTTCAAATGCAAGGCTAGTGGGACAGTTACTACTCTACCAAGATGCAGATATATTAGAAAAGTGGGTTGTGAAGCCACCTTAAGCCCACACCAGACTGTTGGATTTGTGCAAGAAACGTGAGTATTATTGGAACACAGGGTCTTTCAAAACTACCATTTGATGAAGGCTGCATAAGACTGCAGTGCATGGTAAAGTTAAGCATAAGCCAAAAAAATGTTCAAATTCACAAATAAGGGCCCAAATGCCTCTCAAGTTAATTGGAACTTACAGAGTCAACACCAACATTAATTTAATGGTCTAGCAATATATCTGGTAAAAAATGCGAGGTACATGTCAAGAATGTCATCCAAATCATGAAGCATGGAGATCAAAATGTTTTGCTTTGTACTCGAGTTGAGTGTGGGTGTATTTATTTCCACAATAACAATTCAAAGAAATCATCCATATCTATGACCAAATGGTTAAGATAGCACAAAACCTACATATTGTTTTATTAACCAAGAAAACCCTGACTGTATAATAAAAAAAAATTAAAATCTCCAAGCACAAACTGCAGCTCAGTTTCTGCTTCAGCAATAAGGAGTAGTTGAATATCCCACCTGTTAGGTTAAACTTATTGAAAGGTTACAGAAAGTGCCTACATGTAATCAAAATTAAAAGCTTCTCAAAATACTGAATGATGCAGTGTGAATAAACATGAACATCATGTATTTCTTAATACTGTACATGTAACTATGTTTTTATGTGCTACTGACAAATACAATACTGATAGTCATACAGGTCGTCACCTTACTGTTTGTGATGCTGCTTAGAGTACACCAGTATAGTATAATATATCCCTGCTAAATTAATATTTATTTACAAGCCATTATATGAACATAGGGAAATATTGGGAATAGTGTGTTTGTGAGATTGTGCGTGCGTATGTGCATGTGTGTATTTACTCACCTAATTTTGGCTGCAGGGGTTGATTCATAGCTCCTGGCCCCGCTGTGTGTGTATGCGCATGCATGTGCATGTGTGCACACGTGTTTGTGCATGCATGCGTTTGTGCATGTGTGCGTATGTGCATGTGTGCATGTCAATATGCCTGTATACACAAATTTAAACACAAAAACTAGAGGCATTCACACACATTTTAAAACAAATGTTCTGTGAAAGAGTATTGGTAACAAAGAGCACTGTCACATGAATTATAGCACTTTGTACAGTTGCAGTCTCATTTGTGCTAATAACCATGACCATGACAATCAAGCAGGCACCAGAGCTGTGTGATATAATTTCACCCTGGACCTGGCCCCACCCACAACTTAACCACATTGCAGCTTCTGAGATTGGTCCATCTTTCCTACCAAAACTTGACTGGGGTAGGTAGTCTGGGCCATACTCTTTTGGGTATACAAAAAAATATGTAATATATGGCTAACAGCTGCAGAAAGTAACAAGGGCACCATAACAAGTGATGATATACAATTGTGGTCATAATATGTAGGTGAAGGCATATGCCTGCCATTTGTCACAGACATATGCTATGTGACTGACACCTTGTCACATTGCAATTAACCCACTTAAGTAGTATACCTGAATTAAATTAAACAATAAATAATAATCAGAAATGCAATGTTCACTGACACTGAAAGGAAGATGAAGTGTCAGATCCATATCTATTGTAAATATTTATTAAGGAATATTAATAATATTATACACTTAACAATCTTTGGAATGCAATGCATGTATAAATTTTTCCTGATTGCATTTTTATAGAAAACATGCCTTTAATCTCAGTTTACCTTAAAACGTTCATCAATATTGAAAATAATCACAGTCTTTGGGAGAGTTTTGGCTCCTTGGGCTGACAATGTTTTCTTACTCAGTGCAGTAAACTGGAATCCTTTAGAAGGCCTACCTGCAGCTCAATAAATACATTAAGTCAATAAAAATACAATAATTTTAACATTTAAAATTATAAATAATAAATACAATTTTTTTTAGTATACACACCAAACATATTTATAATAAATTACCACTACAACAATATTAAAGTTAAATTTGTCAATAAATAGTCCCTCATATAATTGCCATTCAAAATTATAGCAAATGAGGAAGATTCATAACCAGTTTTACAGGTGTTTAAGAGCTGTAAGTGTATTCCAATCCTGCACCGAGTGGTCCTTGGCTTCTGCATTGATTCCTGGGACCGTTTCCTTGGTTGACACAAGTGCTGGTACCAACTCGGCACCATGCTTGTATATCTTGCTTGAATTTTTAATATACCTGTCATCCAGGGAGACGTCCATACGCATGCCTCAATAACATCGCTGTTCTCTTAGTTACCATCCACGATGCCAGAGATTCATATTGCAGCGAGCATCAGGACAGCACCGCTCATGTGTGCTAACAAGCGCATAGTGTGGCAATATAAAAGAAGCTAACTTGTACCTTGTAATACTGAGGGC